GAAAATTATTCTGTCACCTTGATTCTCTCCATAAATTTAAATGTATTCCAAATCATCAATTCGGCTTCAGAAAGCATCATTCAACTGTTCAACAATGCCATCGATTTCCAATTCTTATTTATAATTATTTAAAATCTAAAAAATATTGTCCTGAAGTTTTTCTTGACCTCAGTCAAGCCTTCGATAAAGTTTGGCATGAAGGATTGCTTTCCAAACTTAAAATTTTACTTCCTCCGATCTACTATCTAATATTACTTTCATATCTAACGGATAGACATTTTGTAGTAAAAGTAGGGAGAGGACGGTCTGACATTCAACCTATTAAAGCAGCTGTACCTTGTACCAATATTGTTTAATATATATATGTCTGACCTACCGCAACACAGTGACACACTACTGACTACTGTTGCTGACGATACCGCAATCCTCAGCTCAGATAAAAACGCTGTTCGAACATCTACCGCTCTTCAAAATCATCTGAACGATATTGCCGATTAGGCCACAAGGTGGAAAATTAAGAGGATTGAAAAAAAAAAAAAATGTGCATGTAGTATTCACTCTAAACCATAAATCTTTCCCTGAAATATATTCTAACAACATTAAAATCCCAACATCAGATGTAATTAGGTATTCAGGTTTTTACCTGGACAAAAGACTAATTAGGACAACTCATATTAGACAAAAACGAATAGAATTAAACAGACGATACAGTCTTTTATTCAGATTACTTAACAGACGTTTAAAATTATCTTTAACTAGTAAACTAACCCTTTATAATGTTTTACTTAAAAATATTTGGATTTACGGCATAGAAATGTGGGGTTCTGCTAAAACTTCTAACATTAAAAAAGTTCAGTCCTTTCAGTCAAAAGTGTTACGAAGGATAGTTGACGCACTGTTTTATGTCGCAAATGATACATTACATAAAGACTTAAACGTACCTACAATTTTAGATACTACAAAAGAGAACTGCAATAAATTTCAACAAAGACTGACGTACAACACGAATCCCCTGACAGAAATCCTTCATCGTACAAGAAACCCGTACAGCCCACCGTTTTACGTAAGCGTTGGCCAAGAGACCTGCTGATCTGATTTATTTCCCGGACATGATGGAAAGATGTGAAGCTACCGAAAAATTTGCTCATTGCAAAGAAATTTGCAGGCAGCAAATTTAATCTAATGTTCTACATTTTTGTTTGGTAAGTAAAAAGATAAAGAATAAATACGATGAAAAATAATTGTTGGTTTTGAAATTTTATTCTTAAATCGCAGTGGTTTACAAAGCTCAAGGTCTCTGATTCGAATACGGCCGTGGCAGGTAATTATTTATTCTATTTCATTAACGGAGGATCCATCCTGGGGTCGGTAGACACTCCTGAAGCACACATAGCCTCTATAAACTGGTTACTTTTAATCCGGCAGGAGTAGGGTACTTTTTACTTCCCTAAGAGATGTAGCTCATGGTAAACAATGTTTCTACATATATTGGGATGCAATTATGGCAAAAATGTTTACGATTAATTTCAATAATGAACCATTGTGATCGAACTAAAAATTCAAAAACTTAATCCCTTCTCAAAATATGAGGTTTTACGTTTCAGGATACGTAGAATTCGAAAAACGAATAAAATTTTTTTTGTCCTTCCGCCGTCCGCACATTTTCTCCGAAATTACTGGACCGATTTTTTTTTTCAAATTTCATTAGAGGTCACCCGAGGATGGCCCTCCTTCATCGACATTTCTATCCGCTCTTTTCCTTTCAAGATGACGAGCGAAAAACCTGCATTGCTATAGACTGTAGGGCGTAAACGAATATACCGATTTCAATGAACATTCACACAGAGTATTTTGCGGGACTTGAATTTTTATAATCAGGAGACCTCAAAACGTGTATTTGCGTTGAAAACTCAGATTCGAAAATTTTCATGATCACAATACTTTTCCTTATTATATATTTCATACATAGTATATGAAAGCAAAAATATATACAATTATCAATAGTATATGAATAAATTGTATTTATTTATAATATAATATTGTAAAATATTTTAACAATATATAAAGATACTTTAATAATGGAGTTTTTAATTGTTAAAAATGTTATATTGAAGTGTGAACAAGTTTAAAATAAACAAAACCTTACAGAGAAAGCTTTTACTATTTGACTAATTGAGTTAATTTGACAAGGGCAATTCAGTCCATGTGTTTAAATTTTTTAAAAATATTTATGTTGTTATATATGTATAAAATGATAATAATTAACGGAAAAGTATAATTAGGCTGTAATGATTGTTTTTATTGGTTATAGATTACTTCTCTTGAAAACGTGATAAGGCCTCAAACTTTGGTGTATGAAGGAGAAATAAAGTAGGAATAGTCTGATGAAATTGTATGTTTTATTATTCTAATAAAGTGAGGTTCTTACCTACAAGTATAAGTATTTTTCAAATTAAAAAGTATGATAAAAATAGAAAAATAAACTAACATCAGACCAGAAAGAAGTTCTAAAACTACTATAATTATAAGTTTTTTTTTTAAATTACTTGTTTGAACGTAATGACGAATTGAGGAAAAAGAAAATTACTATATAAAATTTTTTTTTAAAACTCTATAAAAGGATATCCACATTGTTTATAGTGTGGAGGTGATGAGATGAAGCTAGTGACTATACATGTAGTCGAGTGGATTCCGAAATCTCAAGCAGAATCTCTAAGATTAATTCCGGTTTCTACCATATCTATAATTCAGTTATCAGGAAGACAGATAAGGTTTTAAACAGGGGAAGGTTTTAAAGCCCTATTTATACAAGTACTACCTGTACTTCATTATGGAGCAGAGAGTTGTATTTTGTTGTCGCCTAGAGACATTATGTAAGTTATAGGCTTTGAAGAAAAATAAGAAGGATAACTTGAAAAAAATAATTAATTTTAAAAAACAATTGTAATTGTATTAAGAAATACAATTAACGAACGTGATTTCATATTAATATATTACAACAGTAGATTTGAAGATACAGTCCACTAGTAGCACATTAATATTTCAGAGTTGTCGGAAAGCAATCTTCATTTCTAAAGGCTTCTATTTACTTCACTTTCGGTTTGAAAAATGTTCTCGTAGACCATGCTTTCCATATTCTCGTACATATCCAAATTTTGAGGAAGAAGAAAGAAAAATAAATTTGATTCTGGAACTAAGTCCCCTTAAAATAATTACAATGTACAATTTAATGACAATTGTCTGGCATTAGAAATAATTATAAATAAATTAAATTACAAGGTTATCTAGATCTAAACTTAAAAAGTTAAATAAAGAAAAGGCGCTGGTAGATATATGAAAATAAAGATTATTTCTCATGTACGAGTTCAAGTATTTGTACACATTGTAATTATCTGTAGGATAACATTAAATGGGACTGACAGGTCTGAAAAACGTGAACATTATTTTAAAGATATTCGGAAGATTGATTACTGAGGATATGGATAGATAAATTATATTTAAATGAAGTCAAGGATGAGGATTTGTTTATGAAGGTTGGTAGGGAATTCCATAATAAGGTAGTACGTATATAGCAAAGGATTTTTCAAAGGATACAGTTCTATGAGAAGGAATAAACAGGTTTGAGGGCTGGGATCACGTGTTGAACGAATAGACAGAGGAACAAGGAGTAAACAAATTGAGAAGGTAAGAGAGTTTTTTGATCGAAAAGGTTCGAAAAAGGAATACATCTAGGAAGACTTAATATAGCCACTTCAACACGGCATACCAACTGGAGACATGGGAGCGCCTGGGGACTCCAAAGATAAATCTAATGAAACAATTCATTAGCCTCTTTAATCTGGTCTCAAGCCCACCAGACAGTCCACCGTATACAAGGCAGCCATAATCGAAATGAGAGAAAATGAGTGAGGAAACTAGGATCTGGCGGATTTTAAAGAATACGGAATTATTTTTGCCTAAAATCGGTGATTAAAATACAAAATACTACTGGTATCTCGTAATTAAAATACAAAATACTTTTGTTCTAATAACTTGTCTGGTAACAATTTATATTCTTTGTAATTGAAATGCACTAGATTTTGAAAACCCGAAACACTTAGTATTTTAAATACTGTGTACTAAAATAATAATTAAAGTACAAATTTTCAACGTGTGGGTTGCGGTAATGGATTGTTATTGACTGACGACTAGTGTTGCCCAAAATCGATCTTGGTCTTGCACTTTGCAAGACCAAGATCAAGGCCGCCTAATTTTTGTAAGATCAAGACCAAGACTGGTTGGTCAAAAAATTGATTTTTTGAATAAAAAGTAAGGCTAAATAGTTACTAATGCTTGACATTATTAGGTAATATGTGTGAATAATTGGTATAACCAATATACTTTTGCATTTAACTCTTCTAATTTTTCATTTGGGCTTAGTTAGGTTCCCCTATTTAAAAAATACAGGAATATCTCTATAATACTAAGCTAATAACTAACTGCAAGACCGTTGCTACACTCTTGCGCAAAACCAAGACCTAGACCAAAACTGAGTTTGCAAAACCAATAGTCGTCTCAGTCTCACATTTGGGCAACACTACACGGAATCGTAGGAACTGTTTGAGGGTAGCAATGGATTTTCGGATTATTTAGCAAATATGACTATTTCAGGCCAAATATTGATCAAACATTATCCCAAGGCTTCTTATGGAAGTGTGGAAACGGATATGTAGGCCATTGAGGTAGAGTAGGGGATAATAAGGAATGGAATTAATTAGATGCTTGGAATCAATGAGAATGGCTTTGGTCTCAAAATTCAGCTTTAGATCGTTTGCAAACTGCCCAAGTATTGATACTATCAATGTCTTCTTGAAGCCTATTTTAGCGTCAATTATTTATGCTTTCTGAGAGGAATTATTAAGATTGGAGTATCAGTTAACAATAAACAGATGATTAATGGATAACTGAGAATCCTTCCAAAGTTTTTACATAATTCTTATTTTAACAAGAACTCAAGCAAGTTATCTGTTCCTTGGCGTAGTTTCCATCTGACCTATCGTCTTTCTTGCCGTTTCATACATCAAAAACGACAGGAGAACACCACCGATTAGGCCGACCAAGCTGTAGAAAAAAAAATTGACATGGGCTCCATATCTTTCATTGACGGGAGCATAGAATTTTATAGTTACTAATGATATCAACGATGCAAGTCCCTCAGTAATTCCGGCCGCGATGCCCCTCGTAGTTGTCCCGAACATCTCTGACTGCAGGATTTGCAGGAGTGGACCTAGTCCAATTTCTATAAAGATGCAGTACATAGCGAGACCAATGTAGAGTATATAAATATAGTTAGAGGCATCAATGGCGGTCTTCTCGTGGATGTAATAATATCCACCGCTGAGGAAGTGTGCGACGAAGCAGCCAAAGCAGGACAGCAGGAGCAATGGTTTACGACCAACCCAGTCGGACAGGAAGGCTGCTATAAAACTGATAACAGTGAGAAGGGATGCGAGGAGGATGGACATGACTTCTGGAGGGAGGCAGGAGCCACTTCTTGAGAACATTTCCAAGGTGTAGCTTTTGATGCTTGCTATCCCAGTCAGGAATTTGGTAATCGTCACGATCTGAACTATGACGAACGCCTTCTTCTCTTTCTTATCACTGAAGAGTATCTCCCAGGATTTCTTCTTTGGCATTTCTTCCATTACTGCTTTCTGCATGTCCTCGAGTTCTTCTTCCACATCCCCGTCTCTGAAATACATGAGGACCTTCCTTGCCTTATCCACTCGCTCAGTCATTAATAAGTAGTATGGAGTCTCAGGAACGAACATCCATATTATTGTAAATATTATTGGGAGCGGAAGGCAGGCGAAGACAAACGTATCATATTCGAGATAAGGGCCAAGAGAGAAAGAGTAAATGGTGCCTAAGGATCCGATCACCTGGTACATGCCTACCAGCCTACCGCGTATCCTTGACTCGGCGATCTCTGCGGTGTAGATCGGCGTGACTGTGTACACCACTCCCAGCGCCAGGCCGTGCAGGATCCGTACAAGAATGAGAGAATACAACGACTTGGAGAAAAGGACTAGAATCCATCCCGCCAGGCATAGAGGTCCAACGCTCATAATCACGAATTTTCGGCCGATCCTAAAACAAATATATAAGAATACTATATATATATATATATATATATATATATATATATATATATATATATATATATATATATATATATATATATATATATATATATATATATACAGAGTTATGGTATTATAGACTACCAGTTGGCCAGTGCGAATAATTCGCATAATGCAGAAATAGCGAAACAATGTGGAAATAAGTAGATCCTATGTATTATATAAGGAAGGAATTAATATTTTTCCTTTGGTCGATTACAATATTCCATTTAAGATAATAGACCAAAATATTTTTACAAACTGCTTTGCTAGGACATATTTTTAAATGCTGACTGGAAAGTTAGTAAAAGTAACAAAGACAAAATAATGTCCCGAACATGGGATTTTCTAAATTATTAAAAAAAATAAGATGTAAGAACAAACCATAAAGAAATAATAAAGTTAATATAAGCCATTGAGGAAAAGAAGAAAGCTTGGAAGAAGCACCTAAGTCATAGAACTCCTGAAGATCGGAGAAAAGATGCCAAGTTAAAAGTGCTTGAAGCAAAAAGGAAATCTTGGAAGGATTTTGGTCAACAACTTGAGGAAAATGCCAGGAAAAATCATCTGGCAGGATGAACTGATTATGAAAAGATGGAGGGACCTTTTTAAAGAACTGCTTGAGGGTAGAGATGTAGAGATGTGTGAGACTCGGAGCGGGGTGAAGAATGTTTGGGTACAAGACGACTACATCAGTGAGGAAGAACTGTAAGAAGCCATCTACAAGATCAAACTAGGCAGCAGGTCTTGATGAAATCAGTCCCGAAATGATTAAGTTCATGAGTAACAAAGGCCGAGAGATATTCCTCCATCTTCTGAACCTGATTTGGAAGGAAAAGAAAATTCCGAAAGACTGGGAAGTGGCAGTGATCGTGCCCATTTATGAGAAAGGAGATATTTGAGACTGTGAGAATCATCGAGGAATATCCCTTTTCAGTGTACGTAGTAAAGTTTATTCCAGAATACTGGAGACAAGGGTAAGAAGGTTAGTGGATAGTCAGCTCGAGGAAGAACAATACGGCTTCAGTGGGCAGCGAAGTACGCAAGGATCTTATTTTCACAATGCGCCAAATTACAGAAAAGACGGTTGAGAAGAATAAGGAGCTACTTCATGGACCTCCAAAAGGCTTTTGACAGAGTGAGGAAGGAAGATATAGAGCGGGCAATGTCTGAAAGAGGGACCGATCATGGAACGATTTTGGCTGTGATGAGTCTCTATAACAAGACCAGAAATGTGGTTAGGACCATGAACCACATTTCAGAAGAATTTGAGACGACATTAAGTATTCGCCAAAGTTATAGCTTAAGCCCGATACTGTTCATAATAGTTTTAGACATGGCACTTAGAAATGCTAAACTAAGGATGAGGCAGTTCCAGTTAGGAGACTGAAACCTGCAACCGACAAGATTCTCTGTGCTGACGTTTGCTGACGACCTCGTCTTGCTAGCTGCCAACGACCGAGATCTCCAATACAACATCAACATCCTCCAGGAAGAAATAGCCACGATAAACATGAAGATTAACCCGGGGGAAACTAAATGTTTGAGAATAGGGAAGAAGCCCAGAGAATAATGAGGGTGACGAGAGCAAGTGGTTAGAGATTGGAGCAGATAGATAATTTTCAGTATCTGGGTGCTCATCTCAACGAAAGTGGTTATGTTGATGAAGAGGCGAGTAAAATAATCGGGGCAGCTGGCAGAGTGTTCTATCAGCAGTCTACAAATCGACATTTCTCCCTCTCCTTTCGTACTCCTCTGAACCATGGACCCTCACCTCGAAACACAAAAGTCGAATTCAAGCCATGGAGATGCGATACCTTCGGAAGGTCGAGGAAAAGGTCAGAAGAGATAGGGTCCGGAACGCCACTGTACGGACCAGCCTCGAGCTAAGATGGTTCGGACATCTTCTTAGAATGGATCAAGAGAGAACAGCCAGGAAGACATATGAGACCCGTGTGGAGGGAAGGAGACCTAGAGGAAGACCACGCATATCCTGGAAAGACAGTGTACGAGAGGCGTTCAGGAAGCGAGGTATGGATTGGAGTAAGAGAAGAGAGTTGGCTCAAGAAAGGGAAACCTGGTCCAAGCTCTACAAGACGCTGCGGTATTGGGACCAAGAATATGATGATGATGACTTTTTTTTTTTATTAACGAAATTTACAACTGTAATTAATAATAAATACAACAAGTAAATATGAACAAGTAATATGACATGTACAACATGAGGAGAAACTACCCATTGGTAGCACTCCAATTATATTTCTATATTAGAAGGTCCCGAGGCCATCTTCTTTTCAGACGCCTCGGACGGTTATCAGGAATAGAAGATGAAGCAAGGTTGGAAACGATAGGGTTCGGATGGTTCAGAAGTTTATTATGAAAGGACAGGTATCTGGATTGAGCTAAATCGGAAACATATGGTACATTAAGGTCATTATGGATGATTTAATTTGACAAATGACAATGTAGGGAGCATTAAGGATTTTACGAAGGATTTTGGATTGTAGGGATTGGATACGAGAGGAATTTGATGGTTTAGTAGAGCCCCAAAGCTCGATCCCGTAAGTCCAAATAGGTCTTATTATAGTAATATGTATGAGTCTTTTGTAAATAGTTGGCAGTTTAGAGCGTTTGTCTAGAAAGTGCTGGAGTAGTCGGAAACGTCGGGGCGTTTCTAGTCGTTTCAGTCTGGTATGGGGGTTCCAAGTGAGTTGTTTGTCAAGGTGAAGTCCTAGGTATTGGATTTTCTCAACAGAGATAAGTGGGGTATTGTTAAAGAATACTGTAGGACAGGAAGTCATAGGTTTACGACGAAGAGTAAAGGTAATTTGATGGGATTTATTGGAGCTTATTTTAATCCTCCAGTTTTGACACCATTTTTCAAGACTTGTGATGTGTGATTGAAGAGTTTGGGATGCGATAGATGGATCGTTATTGACTGATAGGATACATGTGTCATAGGCATATTTGGTGAAGCCAGTGTTGGAATGGGTTGGGATGTCAGCTGTGTAATTTTTTTCAATTTTTTATTTTTTTTTTTTACTATTTAATCAAACTATACTTTTGTTTATGTATCTCTGAGGCTCCTTAGCCCACATTTTTGTTTCTCTGTATTATTGTAAAGGGACTCGTCCCAGAATAAATAAAGTATTATTATTATTATTATTATTATTATTATAAACTGTTTAAAGGATAGGACCTAGGATACTTACTACCTTGAGGAACACCAGCAAACTGAGAAAAAAGAGATGAAAAAGCATTGTTATGATTGACTTTGAAGAATCTGTCAGTAAGGTAGGAACGGATAATGAGGAAGTATGTAGGTGGTAGGAATTTACGGAGTTTGTACATCAGTCCCGGATGCCAGACTCTATCAAACGCCTATGATGACAATTTAAATCTCAACTCTGTTCTCTTTAAAAAAATATTTCAACACACTTTACTCCTTCCGTCAATACAAATTGTTTAAATTATACCTATTTCTAATCGTATTTTCGATTTGTTTTGAAGGTAATTTAGTAATCTTTCTAATTATCATGGGTACAATCCAGAAAAAATGCATACGTTTAGAATTATTCATAAATAAAGTTTATTTTCCTTCATAACGTTTTTCTCAGAATGTGGGGGGAGGACTATTTTTCGCATATGAAGAACATCTTCAAAATGAGTGGTCAATCATTGGATTTGATGAAGAATTGACGAAGTTATGGCTTACTGACAAAAAACACCTTTTAGAAATTATATATAGTATTTGAGTAGTTTATTATAAACTAGTAACGTCCAATTTATAATTAAGTAATCTGTATCTTCGAGAAATATACGGTTGAAATGTTACACAGATTTGCCTCAAAATGAAGTATGAAGTATCTAAATTTTCATTTATATCGAATTTCAAGGAGCCGTGGTATTACGTCTCTAAAATGCTATGAAAATTTCCATTCATGTGTCTTCACCCTTTTAGTGGCTTTTATATTATTTTTACAATTTATTGGAAGTTTTATAATACGTAGTCATGGATATTTTTATTTAAGTACAAATTGTAATGAAATTAAGCAGGTGCTATCTTTTATTATTTGGGTAGTACGGAAAACAGTGCAGGATTTTATGTTTTCTTTATATGAATCCTTTATATAATAAATTATTTAACTTTGAAGGATTATTATTTTCTATGGATGTCAACACTTTTTAGAATAAAAGTTTGTTTTATCTTCTGTAATATTTTACTAATTTAAAATAATCCAGTCTTTACTAATGATGTAAAAGCGTTTTTGACCAACAACTTCCATTTACGAGCATAGACTCGATCTAAACAGAGCCCAAAAGATTAGAAACAATAATCACCTCATAGACGATTGTAGTGTGAGCAAATTCACCATTCAACAAAAAAATATTTTAATTTAAGTATAAAATATCTCTAGAGAAAAGCTTTATTCTAGAAGCAAAAATGGTCGTGAAAGGATTTCTTTCTTAGAAGACGATTTTCTGTGACCATTGATTGAAGAAAATCCATGAACAACTGTTCATTGAACCTGACGGCAATATGAAAGGTATAAAAGCTTCACACTTAGATTCCTCGTCCTTTGAACTATCACAGAGAAAAACATCTTCGTTATGAACTTGGTGCTGCACATCTTTGTGGAAAACAAATCCACAAGCTCTCCTGACCTTAGTCTATCGAACACTATTTTTTTTAATCCATCTACTTTTTAAAAGATAAAAGTTTGTTGGTTGAAATTTTGAGAATCTTTTATTAATAATAATAACGATTTAACGTTCTATTTGGAGAGAATGGAAAAGTTACAAACACGTTGGCAGAAATGAATCGTATAGTGCAACGTGTTTTGATTAATACAAATAATTTCATTGCATCATTTTTTTTTCTTAGGGGGTGGGGTGGAGGAACTTTCGTAGGATCTAATTATCTAATTATTCCTCACAAGCATTTT